CAGAGGATGTACTTCCTGCGCCAGCTCAGGAAGTTCGACCTGCCCCAGGAGCTGCTGATACAGTTCTACAGAGGAATCATCGAGTCTGTTCTCTGCACCTCCATCACTGTCTGGTTTGGCTCAGCAACCAAACAGGACAGGAAAAGACTTCAGCGGACAGTCAGGACTGTAGAAAAGATCATTGGTGTGAGCCTGCCCTCCATGGAAGACTTGTACACCTCATGGGTCAAAAGGAGGGCGGAGAGGATCACTGCAGACCCCTCACACCCTGGACACAATCTGTTTGAACTCCTCCCCTCTGGACGGTGTTACAGGTCACTGTGCACTAAGACAACCAGGCACAGGGACAGTTTCTTCCCCAGGCTGTCACTCTGATGAACACTTAACCAATGACAGTATGACTGGACAATAACCCTCAGTGCAATACCTGTAAATATAGCTCGTACAGATTATAGAGACTTGCACAGGTCTCTAGTTCTTAAGTATTATGTTTTATCCCTATTTATCTAATTTCAATGAACATTCCTTGTTGTCTGCATTGTTTACTGTCTGTTTATACAGCTTATTCTGCATTGTTTGCACTGTTTGTTGATGTTAATACTGCCTTTTTGTTATATTACACAGCCTTATGCTGGTTTACTGTTTGCACATTGAGAGCCGATGTACCTGAGTCAAATTCCTCATGTGTCCATCACACCTGGCCAATAAAACTGATCCTGATTCTGAATTTACTTTACTCACCATCTGGATGTTTGTAGTGTGAGCCCACGAAGCTTTGGGTTGTCTTCTTCACTGGGCCATGTGCCTCCCAAGTTCTGAGTTGATTTACTCGGCGGGTTTTCGGTTGCAGTGTATTCAAATACACTGTTTTACAATTAAAACAGTTCATTTGCCTTTCTTGAAACAATAGTGAGGGAAATGAACTACATAAATATTGTAGCATATTGCCAAAATACAGCCAAATGAACATGAGTAATAAAATACTATCAAGTACTAGTACAGTCTCAATTGTACTTTGAATAAAATGATACAGGTATATTTTAGCAGCTCTGTAGGTTTTGCTTAAACCACAAGGTCTATATTCAAAATTTAGTACGAAGCCAACGTGGATGAGAAAGCCTGTGAAGGTAATTAAAAGCTCTACAAAAGCTAGTGAATCCACCTCAAGTGAGATTAGTGTCACCTACCTTTATTTCTGAAGAACAAACACATTCTCCATACAACGCAATAACCGCCCCCTACACTGCATCCTAAAAATGACCACCAGTGTCTCTGAAGATGGAAAATATTTTCTATAAATCTTGTATGAAATTAAACCATTGCTTCTATTGTTCTGGTGAACTTACCCATCCACAGCTTAATACAGAAGGGGTGTAGTGTCAATTTGTTCTTGAAGAAGGAAAGTATAAAGCATGTTTCCCATTGTTGGTGAACATCTGGAGCATTTTGTTTGTGTAGCCAACAAAGAGGATCCTCTGGCCACCGCCACCTTGAATGTAGAACAGGAGGTATTACAGGAGTAGAACAAGACAAGTGTCACAAATATAGATGTGGCAAGAACATTTTTACATTTGAAGAGCACATCTGTCTGTGTTTAGTATTTTCTACACAATATCTAACTGTTGTAGGCACTGAGCAGTGAATTAACTTCACATGTGTGGTCTCCCTTGGTTGTGAAGTAATTGTGTGGATGCTGAGTCAGCATCCACACAATTACTTCACTCCGGCAAAAGCTGAACTACAGCAAAGCCACTCAGATCTAGTTTTTTGTTTGTTTTAAACTCCAGCTACCTAGAAAAAGTAGTTCAAATTGCTTAGTTCAAAAAGATAAAACTGACAATGTACATGTGATACAAAAGTATATATAAAAAAACTCATGCCAGCAAAAAATGCCACTAATTTGGGTTTATTACATGAGACCTGGATTTGTTGCTGTTATCTAACTACAACTGCCTGGCTTAAGCACCGGTCTAAGGAAATGAGTCTGATGTCTTGTTTATAACATCTGCCTTAGACAATCTGAACTGAAACAGTCTTCAATTTGTACCTATTCAGACAGTATGAACATCTTGAAATCTGGCCTGTGGAGCTTTTCAGTTGTCAGATCAGAGCCTGTCAAAGTACTTATCCAACAAGTTGTTTTTTTGACACTGAAAATGTCCTTGTCAGTGCTGAAAAGCCGATCTCATGTAGCATGGTAGAAAAAAAAACCATTCCTTTATCTTTTATGGTCCAAAACTGTTTGTTGTTGCAGTAGTTAACTACACAAAAAGGCAAAGACAACTGAACCTGGATGACTTGAATCACTATGCAAATATAAATGTAGTTTTATTACATCTATTTCACTACTCATAAACACTGTATCTGGCTATATGGAGATATACTAATGTAAGAACTACTAAATTCCTTCATTTTATTTTAACTTGTTTTTGCTAAAGCACTAATATATAAAGGTGATGAACACTGTTACAATCCACCTTCAGCAGATCACCAGGTGTGAGTTGTCTGTTACTGTAAAGTGCAAACAGACATAAATGCAGTTTACCAATGATAATAATTAAACTATTTACACCACTTCTCAGCACAGCCTCATTTTTAATTTACCCATGGCTTTGAGAGAGTGCTGACATACTGTGAGGGGAACAGTTGAGTGTGCACATATAGAAGTATTGTATCATTCGATTTCATAGTAACTCAGTGACTACAGTCTTCACCGTGATCCTCGGTGATGCCCTGCAGACTCACTGGCTCCTGTACTTGCGCCTTTATTTACTGGGCCATTGGCAGAGGCATCTCTCTCTGAGAAAGAAGCTCCATTGTGTGTCCGAGCTAAATCAATATCCCATTATAGTGTTTCGGAAATGGCAAAGAGGAAAGAAAGAGAAATAAGCTCATATGTTATGGCAACACTGAGCCATGGGTAGATTTTTCTGTTCCAAAGTGACGTTGGAGTGAAGTAGTTGGAAATGACAACTGTTGAATTTAGAGAATATGAAAGACCCAAACAACAAAGGGAAAATAAACTGTTGATGATTGAAAGGAAGTCCCTTGAATAATCTGACAGTGTGCTGCTTAAAAAAAAAAAAACTTGGCTTGATATGAGACACTGAAAGAAAAAGAGATTGCAGAGAGTGATGAGGAAAAAAATCCATGCAACACATCTCAATGTTTTTTATGGCTGTTTTTTTTTTTTAATTGAAACCAGCTTCACCGATAACAAACATGCAATATCACTGTACTAGCCAACACCACAGATAAGTGTTACTCATTCAAGTCTCGACATTGCCAAGGATTAGCCCACAGCACGCACACAAACATACACACGCACATCCTTTCAGATGTTGTACAGAGATAAACAGACACACTACTCACACACAAACAAACACACACAATCACATACGCACAGTCATATTTACATATCACAGTGAATGATGGGTAAAAATGATGCGCGGAGGAGGATTACACTGTTCTCCTGTTCCGACCAGAGATGGGAATAGGCAGCACAGGTCCAGTGATAGCAAGTGTGTATCTGACCAAGGTGGGACAAGGAGTGGGATGATGACAGTGAGGATGTAAATACCCTTTATCCTTAAGGTGGATGTGTGCCTCTTAGTATCATAAATCTCGTTTTTCTCGTCAATTCCACTCACTCTGTGCTACATTTTAATGCATGGTGTAAGTACAGTATCATAAATTCAGGGCTTCATGATTTCATAAATAGGTTTGTAGTATTGCTTGGATGATATAACAGCTGATTTCACTGTTTTCCAATGCACTGTTGGAAATTTAAATTAAAACCCAATAAAAAGCTAAACAAAAAGGCCACACAACCAAAAAATAAACCTTTAGTTCCAATAAATAAATAAATACTTTAAATGCCATACAAAATTCTGACATTACCCTTTTCCCCAACATTTAATGGAAGTTCTGTCTACAAATGTAAGATAATAAATATATTTAGTATTTTAGTAACAGTTAGGTTTAGGTGGGTTTATTTGGGATATCTCATATCTTTAAGCAAAAACTGGATTATAAACAGTAGGAAAGATCTCTGCAGAAAGTCTATTTAATTAATACTGCTCATATCACAATGGTTACGACACGATAAAATACTGCAAATTATCAAAACTGTACAGAAAAACTTACAAGTTTCTCTAAAATACATTTTCATTGTTAGGGTGTGAGAGGAGAGATAAGAGAGTATGTCTCTGTTTAACCAGCTGAGCGGCAGCCTGCCCTTCACCCAGCAGCTGTACGACAGTCATCGCCAGTCAGAAACCCCTCTCTCCACACACAGCTGATTGTTCTGCCCATTGCTGCTCTGCTCTGCTCTGGAGCAGCGTGCCGGTCCCTAGGGCCTCTCCATCTGGTCAGCAGCTTGCTGCACTAAAGCTCTTGCTGATGACGACTACAAATCTACATGGATTCACAGTCTAGGAAGAGAGAAGACTGCAGCAGGGTAAGCCAGCCCACACAGTTCTACTGGATGTCTAGTGAGTTCCTCTGGTACAGTACACCACTCTTCTACTCCAGTTCATAGTTTCAAAATAGACAATATTTTTCTTCTTTTCTCTTTTGTGTGTGTGTTTTTAATGTATTTCTTAGATATTCCTTTGTCTAATCTACGACACGGTTACAGGTGTGAGTGTTAATGGCGTGCCACTGAGTGGTGGGGTGTTTTGGCTGGGTGAGGGCAGCGCCACCCTGGTAGTGTGTGCACAGTATGTGTGTGGTTTTTAGTGTAAAAGAGGGTGGGTTTGGGCCAGTGGGTCAGCGGTGGCGGTAGTGCCTCATGAGGGGGACGATGCAGGAAGGGGGTCCCGACAGCTTGAGGAAGGGATGCTGTAGGAGTTCCTGGGCTGTGGCTCTCTGAAAGGGCTCCCTCACCAGCATCAGGTCCAGGAAGGACCGCAGCACCGTGGATACCTAGAAGTTACAAAGAAAAACTTAAAACTTTATTTGACCTTTATTATTGATCATGTAAGATTATTATTATTAGATTATTATGTGCATATGTAAGAAAGATCTAGAAGGATAAAGGTATCTGGGCTATAGTGTTACTGTGTATTAAAGAACTGGGCCTGGGTAAAACATTGCCAAATAAACAAAGACTAAAGCCCTTTACAGACATGCACCGGAACCCTGAAATTATCTAGACATTACCAGGAGTAGCTGTATGTGAGAACGCAAATGTCCGACCCAGGCATTAAGCAAACTTTACTCTGCCAGCTCCCTAGCACAAAGTCTGCGTAAAGTCCATGTGAGCTGGAGTGAGCCCATGTGAGAATACAGTGGCTTGTAGTTTGAAGTATTGACACATTGCTAGTGGGTGTGTTGATGACGTTCTATCATGTGACCTCCATGAAACCAGAAGAATACAAACATCTGATGGTGAAGAATGAAGACGCCAATGAAAATATCTAAGTGGAGAAACAATGTGATTCTGGAACTTAAGAACTGGTGCCAGATTTGTTAAATGGCAAGAGACTCTGTTGCTTATGACCAAATTACAAACTGGCTACATGTCCATGTCATGTCCCTCCGACTGTGCACTCTACCCAGGTGTGGTCCCCGCACGTAAACCAAATGGAGTATTTCCAGTAGGTGTGAACACCTCTGACATGGACTATGTCCTGTGGTGTGCTACATGTGTGAAAGGGCAATTCTGGAGTCTGGACCAGTCTGGATGTCCTGTGGTGTGCTACATGTGTGAAAAGGCAATTCTGGAGTCTGGGGTTTATGTGTGAAAACAGCATAAGTAATGCACATTTCTTTTAGGCTTTAAATTTTTGATGCAGTGACCTTGTGTGACTCTTTCAGCCGCGGGGGCAGGTTGTCTCGTATCCTCCTCATGGCCTGCAGAGGGGGCTCGTTGAAGTAAGGGGGCTCTCCATCTACCATCTCAATCACCATGATACCTAAAGACCAGATATCAACCTGGACACACACCACAATAGTCATTCTCATCACTACTATAAATGATCATTCACAGTATTCAGCTCAGAGTGAGAGCCGGTCATACCTCAGTCCCATAAGGCAGTCTAGAGATGACCTCTGGTGCCATCCAGTAGGGTGTGCCCACAAGGGACTTCCTCTTGGGCACCTCTTTGGAAACTTGGGCACAAAAACCAAAGTCTGATAGCTTGATCTGCAAACACACACAAACACCATCCCACTGTTTGTGTGTGGACATACACCAGACACTGTATTAGTTCAGAACCTCTGTGTTTGATGTCAAGAACTACCCTGACCCATTGTGATGAAGAGCTTTCACAGAAGACACTGTTCTCCCGTGTTAAGTGTTTAATTATCCTTCAGCTAATCAGCTTGTTATCATCTCGTTAGGAATCATTAGGCAGGATTTAATTACTAAGGCACAACCGGGAATTGATGATGAGGAGTTTCTGGCACTGGCTGTTGACAAGCAGCAGGAGTGGCACCCATGGAGAAGGTCAGTGAGTGTGTGTTGAAATCACCAGTGACAGGAACAAGGGTATTAACTAGTCAATAATATAATAATAGTATTAGCATGAGCCCTGTTTAAACAGGGATCTTCAGGTTTAATAACAACCCAAAGGAAGGGGTATGAATGGATCAACATCTAAACATACTGTGCATATAGAAACACTGCACACAGACTCACTCTCTCATCTTGTGCACTTACCCTGCCATCACTGGTCAGGAGAATGGAGTCGCTCTTGATGTCGCGGTGGATGACACCCTGTGTGTGCAGGTAGGACAGAGCCCTCAGCACCGACAAACACACTGTAGCAATCTGCTCCTCATTCATCCTGTATGCACACACACACACACACACACACACTGTATTGAAATTTGCAGCTAACAATACATGCATGCAGTACATTGGATTAATTGTTACACAACACTAAATATGCACACAACACAACTGGGAGAATACAAATGGAAAACTCTGCCTTAATGTAATAATGAATTAAATGAGCAATTATTAACATTCTTATTCTATTCATTTATTCTCACTTGTATTTACCAAATAATCTTTATAAATATGTCTGTTATGTAGTTTTTGTATGAATTTTTATCCATCTGTCCTTTATTCTCTATACAGTCTGTAGCATCTCTTTAATCCATGTGTTTTCTGTATTTTTCTCTACTCTTCTCTGTGTTGCACTGTGGGAAAGAAGGGTAAGGTGAGGTGGCTGTGAGGGAGGCAGAACAGATTAGTATGATAGGTGACTTTCATAAATCAACTGTATTAAATCAATTTGTATTTTTAAGTGTGTATCCAAAAACAAAAGATATAATCATGATATAGCCAGGTATATTTAAATATTTCAAGTAATAACACTTTTTTTTGTAAGGCTACATTACAGACAAGTCTGGCCTCAGACTTTGCTGTCACCCTAAAGGGATTACAGTCCAACACAACTGATATGGAGCAGAAATCCGGTTTGAAAACATCCCCCTGTAGCCCGCAGCAGCTGTAGCCGTGATGTGCAGAGTAGGCAGGAGGGTCCCATATGGAGAGAAGGGGCATTGCAGTGTGCATCTGACTGAGCTCACACAGAAACTCACAGCTCCACTGAACATTACCATGTAGCCCCAGCTGGCCAGACCATGCTGTGTGTTTATGAGTGTGTGCAGACATGTGCAGAAATGAGGATACGCTCATTTGCAAGCACAAACCAAAGAAACACACATGTTCATGCACATACAGTGAGACGTACCCTAAGCTTAAACCAAGTCATCACTCTAAAATTCCATGAAGTACATTTTGGGGACATCAAGTCCCCACAAGGCGATAGTTTAACAGATTTATGTCCCCACAACATGAGTACACACACACACATAAATGTCACCTGTGTGCATTAAAGGGTCATACATGATTAAATGGGCCATGGCTACACACACACACACACACACACACACACACACACACTCTCTCTCTTCTCTTCATCTTGTCTCTCTAATAGTTTCCACTGTTGAAAGTGAGTACACTGCACAAGCTTGCATTATGAGAAACAACCTCCGGGCCACACAGATAGATAAACACGCTTCACATTGCAGGCTGTAGCAGATTTTATTGTCACACACGTATGAATTTACAATCATGAGAGATAAATGAGCCTGCTGCTAATGGACACACAACTGGCTAACTCAGAGTGAATGGGATGTTTGCAAAAACAATTCATCCCTTACTGCCAATCCTCCCCCACCCCCCAAACACACACACACACACACATACACATGTCCATTTGAATGAACAACGGAAACGCTGAAATACAAAACGGTCTCAATCATAAAGTGAAAAACAATTTTAATGAGCTTGTAAACGGGAGGAGAACTGCACACGCACCTATGCACACACACACATGCACACACCAGCATGCAGAAGTACATATGCTTTTGCAATTACATTGCATAAAATACTTGTGCAGTGCAGCTCATTAACCAACTTTAAAAGTATAATTAAAACTGGAACATGATAGAAGTAGCTTAGGTGCCCCTTCTGCCACTGCTGACTCGCGGGTGTGTATTAGATGTGCATATTCATGAATCTCAGTGTGTGTGTTTGCCATGTGAGCTGCTTGGACAGCGTGAGACAGGTAGCAGTTTTCAACTTTCACCTGGACAAATATGGCTGAAATTACAAGGAAAAAATATACTGCTGTCTTCCTTGGACACATACAGTGTATACTGTACAGTGCTCAATAATTAAATCAAGTGCTCAGTTTGCTTGGTTACCAACCAAACAAAATGTGACATCTAGCTACTAGGTTCCATTTCACAAGCGCTTTCCTTCTCCTCTGTCTTTGTCCTTTTATTCTGATAAGAAACCTTTCTTTGTTTGAATATCAAAATAATTAAATATTTAAAAGATTTTGTTGCAAACATGCTCACTTATTTCCTCATCAACTTATGTGGCAAGACTGGGCATGAGAAAGATGATGAAAGAGAGAAAAACAAGGGTGAGAGAAAATAATATCCTATTTTACTGAGTTTTCCATTAGTACTTCTAAAAGGACCCGTGTGCATACTGAAACACTCTCACAGACACACACACACACACACACACACACTGAACACACAAACAGGCAAACATCTGTGTGGGAGACTGTTCAAAATACTTCACGGCAACAGCGGTGCTCAGCCTCACCAAAGCGTGTTATTAGCATCTGACACCGCATAGTGCTAATGCTGACACCCCATGCAAATGACTGTAATTAAAACACCAAGCACAAAGTAAGCTTAAAACAGTGAGGCAGCAGATTGGAAACACGACTCAACAACAAAGAAGCAATTTGGAAAAGTTGGAGAACATTAATGCAAAAACTATCAAAACCATTAAAGCCCAAAGCATTGGCCTAATTTTTGGATTATATATATCACAGTATTTTCTTTTTATTGTATTTCTTTCTTTATTTTAGCTCTTATCACCCTATTCTTTCTGTGTTCTGCACATGAGAACAGTTCATCAGGAAAATGTGATTTTAATAAGGATACCAGCCTCATGTTTTTCTGTTAGATATGAAGCTTTAACCATCACTTAGCTGTGCTACTCTTTGTGCCACTTAGTTTAGCACAAAGAGTGGAAAATCCTCCTGTCAGCTCACTACACATCTAAACAGTCGTGTCTTAGAAGTGGTAGTAGGTGGAGTTTTTACTTTAGTATAGAGCCATGTTAGCTGGTTTCCCTTGTTCCCAGTCTTTATGTGGAGCTAAGCTAACCATCTCTGAAAATTTACTGTATCAATCTCACCAGGTAAGAAAGAACAAAGCTAATATTTATTCTTTTAACTGGAATTGGTGCTCTTGTTTGGCATCCCTTAACTAACTGATTGATTTTAGAACTAATTTTAAGACCTTAGTAGTTGGACTTAAAGTTTAAAAGATCCTGTCTCCTGGTTATATTTAATAACTTTTAACTCTATGCAGTATGTGACAAACTGCACTGATGTCTTCAGATATAGAGTAGTGCTGGTCTTTTGGGTGTTAAGGAGATTATATAAACAAAAACATTATTCTTAATTAAAAATGCACTCCTGATTGGTGCTTAGGGTGCTTAGGCCTCAGTAACCTGCTCGCAGGTCTAAACTTTATTCATTCTCAACTTCAGGGATTTATTTATTTATTTATTATTGTTTAGAATTTTAGCCTCCTGTTTTTTGCACCTTAGTGTCTGATACTGTATTTATATATTCAAAAGAGGTTACCTCCAGTTTGCCTACCGCCCCAACAGATCAGTAGACGACGTGGCAGCTCTGGCTTTATTCCATACCCTGAAACACCTGGACAACAGCAGTATGTATGCTAGGATGCTCTTCCTGGATTACAGTTCTGCATTCAACACCGTTCGTCTAGGCAGGCTGATTGGGAAGATGACAGACCTCGGTGTCCCAACTCCCACCTGCAACTGGATTCTGGACTTCCTGACTGAAAGACCACAGGTGGTCAGAATGGGAGGGCAGGTGTCTGCTGAGCTCACAATCAGCACAGACTCACCGCAAGGCTGCTGTCTCAGCCCCAAACTCTTCACCCTGTACACCCACAACTGCTCCAACCATGACAACACCATCATCATAAACTATGCTGATGACACCACCATTCTGGGCCTTCTCAAGTAGGGAGACTAGTCGGGTTACAGAAGCCTCATTTATGGAGAAGAGAATGACCTCAGCCTCAATATAAACAACACAAAAGAAATAATAGCAGACTTCAGGAAGAACCCCTCTCCTCTGCTGCCTCTGACCATCAAAGGGACTGAGGTGGAGAGGGCTGACAGCCACAAGTTCCTGGGCCTGCAGGTGACATCTGACCTGAGCCGGTCACTGAACACAGCTGCCACAGTGAAGAAAGCCCAGCAGTAGCTATACTTCATCAGGCAGCTCAGAAAAGCTGGGCTGAACTGTTACCCTCTCACCCAGGCTTATAGAGGACTGGTAGAGAGCATCCTTACTACTGGCATCACAGTCTGGTATGGTAATACCACACAGACAGAGAGGAAGGCTCTTCAGAGGGTCATAAAGACTGCAGAGGAGCTCACTGGGACTGAACTGCCTGCTATGGACACACTATACACACAGCGCTGTCGTAAAAGGGCAGAAAACATAATCAGGGATCCATGCCACCCAGCTCACTCTGTGCTCAGACACAAAAACTGCACCTACAACCTCAGGCACAGCAGGGTGGACAGTATCATCACACACAGAACTAGACTTTACAATAGCTTTTTCCCTGCTGCAGTAAATACAGTCCTTTTCTGGGTTGCAAGCAAGAGCAGACGTCTTTACTGCTCCTCTTGTCTGTTCTACATTTCAAGTCTTTGAACATACTTTACAACTACTAAAATGCCTCAAAGAGGGAAAAGAGCTAATAAATCAGAAGCGACTGAGGATATGGAGGCAGAAGAAATGTATCACAGAGCGGCGCAAGTAAATGACATCGTGGATCATCAGAAACAGATGTACATTGCGCTGTTGAACCAAGAGCAGGAAAGCTTCAAAGGCTTTGTGCAACTAATTATGGAGACAAACAACAAGAGATTCGACGACATGACCAGAGAAATACGGGAGATAAAAACGAGTTTGCAGTTTACCCAGCGAGAGGTGGATGTGATTAAAGCTGCCATGGGTGAACAGAAAACACAAACCAAGGAAATGAGGGATGACGTCTACAAAACGTGTGAGAGTTTAAAAACTATAACGGACAAAATGGAGCATATGGAAGCACAGTCCAAGCGAAAAAACTTGATCTTTGAGGGAATCAAGGAGACAACT